CGTGTTAGACTGGAATTGCGAAGACAGCGGTAAAATATATAAATCTTAGGTAACCATTACTATTCGTAATTACAAGGAACTGGTAAAACCTTCTTTAGTATCTATGTGTTATTTAATAAGCTCAGTACTCGTCTATTAATGGTGGAAAAATAGTAAACATTCTTTAATACAAAGGTTCCCACCTTTAGTAAGCACAGTCATTGTCTGTTAATGAAGTGGGAACGCTTGGGTGCTGCGTCCCTGTACTTTTTTTTAGCCGGAACGCCATACCGCCTCTATTTCGAACGAATCTCACCTTGCACGGTTATACAGTAAATTTCGCATTCCGACACTTTTATATTTAACACTACACAACTGAATAAACAGATAACTTTTAGTAAAGCAATGCTCATCTGTTAATGGTAAAGAAATGGTAAAACTTTCTTTAATAAAAGGGTAACCTTTAGTAAGCGTCCGTTAATGGTAGGAAAATGTTAAAACATTCTTTAATACAAAAGTGAACGTTAATAAGAGCTGTACTAAAGTCTGTTAAAGGTAAGAAAATGGTAAAACTTTCTTTAATAAAAGGGTAACCTTTAGTGAGCGTCCGTTAATGGTAAGAAAATGGTAAAACTTTCTTTAATAAAAGGGTAACCTTTAGTAAGCGTCCGTTAATGGAAGGAAAATGTTAAAACATTCTTTAATACAAAAGTGAACGTTAATAAGAGCAGTACTAAAGTCTGTTAAAGGTAAGAAAATGGTAAAATACTTTTTAATACAAAGGTAAAAGTTAGTAAGTGCAGTACTCGTCTGTTGTTGATAGGAATTTAGATTAATCATTTTTAGTAATTAAAACACTCGTTTATTCGTGATAGTGAAAAGGTGATACATTTTGATACCAAAAGTACTCGCCCGTATTGGCAGGCGATAGGTGACAACTTCTTTAATGTCAAGGCAATTATTATTAATGATACTGATCATCTTTTCTACTTGGCAAGAATTGGCTACAACATTTTAAATATATGTGTGTGTGTTCCTCAGTAAATACAGTAACAGCCTGTTTATGCAGACCGAGAATGGTGTAATGGTTACCACGCTGGTCAGCTTTAATGAAAGCCCAAATCTGAGACGAATATGCTGTCGAACACGCTCCACACTTTAAGCTGTGAAGGCGTTATTAATGTGACACTCAGCCATATTATTCAGTTAAGAGTAATCGTATAGGCGGAGGGTGCTGTTGACTGGTTGTCCTCCTCTGGTTGATTGGGGTCTCTAATCTGGCCACTTTATGTGTCGCATAAGTTTGAAAATGCTTAATACTTGTTTGTGGAAAGGAATAGTCAATGACTAAGTTTTAGGTAATCGTTTCAGGGCTATTAATTAGTCACTCTTAATTGAGCTTAATTATTCAGCTTATGTGACTTTTTAAGTATCCTTTCTTAACTGCTGCTATCTTCTCATCATATTTTTGATAAGCCTTTATCTACTGAGATAATTTACTTAATTGCTGAAATCATTTCATTTTTACGTTAGCCAAGGCTATCATAAACTTTTAGTTCCACAAAACTGGGTATTAGTCAGCATGATTTTATTTGATATCTTGGCCTGGAACATATTTTTTGGAAAGCACGATGAAACACCACTTTTACATAATTCTGGATGATATTTGTTAGCCTAAACTTTTATTTTCTAACCAAAAAAGTTTTGAAAAACAGACTTAAAAGTTTCGTGATAGCTGTACGTGCCCTTAAACTATCAGTTATATCATCTTTTAAATCGGAACAAGCGTTTCGACTGTAGCGTTGAATGACAGCGCTTCTCAGATTTAATAACGGATACTGTGATCTGTCATTTGACAGCTGTTGTTTGCTTGTATGGTGTCATTACCAGACTTGAGGATGCTGCATCTTACACTTTTTTTTATTGAGTGAACTTTATGTCATCGTGCAGTCTTTCTTTTAAATTTGCAGTCGCCATTTGTTTAATACATGTGAAAAAAACACACACACATTCAAAGGATTATTTCTAATAACAAAAACCCTGCATGGCAATTTTAAGTTTTTACTGGTTTCGCAACTTCAGGTACTATTCACAGTAAAACTATTAACATGTAACAACCCGAAAACACACACGAGGACTTAACCTAAGCTTTCTTTATTTCTCATGCTTGTTTTTTATTGTGCCCATAGGCCATTCCACATTAAAAATTCCCTTGGACTAGAAAAGATGGAAGTCCTTATGAAGGTAGTCATTATTTCAGGTAATATCTTGTATTGGGAAAGAGTGTTGGAGGACATCTAGGTATCTAAATAGAACTACTGAAGCGGAGCAGAAAATCTGAGATAAAGTATAAAAACACCATAGTTAGAGACCACTAAGGAAGTGTCTCGAAAAAAAACTCAACGTAGCAATAATGAACTTACGGTGGTTAGAGAGTAAAAGTTCAATGGATTAAATGGAACATTCAAGAAGAAAATGCCTGCTATATTTCTCTTTAGTCTGGATAATTTTCAACTTGGATTTTAAATAATGTGGAATCTAAGTCACAATTACCTATATTAAGACAGCAAAAATTACATCTATTTTTTTTATGGAAATACAGACAGAAGCCTTGTGAGGCAGAAAGGAAAAAGTAAAGCAACCCATAGCAGGGAATACCATCTTTGATTCCATGAAAATCAAATGCATCCACAGTGCCCATCGGAAGCAATCAGGACTATAAAAAAAAATATACTTATTTGGGTTTTCAGATAAATTATTTATTAACAGGAATTCCAATGTGTCCAGGAACCCAAACTATATTAAATATTCATTTGCAAAGTATAAATGTGCTATCAAGTATCGACAACATTCTCGGACTAGTGAGGGGTGAGGTAATTAAGTGGACGATGACAAAACTAGAATGTTACTATGTGAGTCAGAGCAACTAACAATAGATGACTAATAACCAGCCCCTGAAACAGTCCATTGAAGGGTCAATAAAAGCTAATCAGTTCATCTGTAAAGACCCTTGAAAGATTTAACAGCAAAATAATAGTTGGAGACGGCTTGAATGGGTAATGAAGAAAAACTTTAATATAAGTTTAACATAACAGCAAACGTACAGCGTTTCGACAAGGTTTTGTCATCATCAGCACAAAACCTTGTC